AATTGAAATTTTCAATACTTAGAAAAACATGCAAAGCATTTTAAGGAATATGGAACACTGACACATAAATGTTGTAGGGGTACTAATCTGTCATGTTCTAACTCACTGGTTCCTGCTTGTCCTTTTTCTGTGTTACAACTATTTACATGTTTATGAAATATCTTTTAAAACTTAAGAATCCAACTCTCTCTATTCCCTTCACATAATTTAGAACTCTGAAAGTAGTTTCAAAATTATGGCTTTTCTGTGTACTTTCTCCAACATTTAAGTGGTTCAAATGTATCAGAATGATCGGAACGGTACAGAATTATCAAAGTATGGCCTGATCAAAGCAGTATATAACTTTGAACTTTATTTCCATTGAACTGTATTCAACTGTTCAGGTTATATGATTCAACTGTCTATCAGCAGCATGTATACTACTACAATATATGCAAGTTTGAATTATTTTTCAAAAAATAATTTTGACTAGATTATGCAAAGTGAGGAATTAAACTATATTCTGTTCATTTTGTAGTTACATGTAAAACAGAAAAAGCCATATGGCCTAGATCAAAATAAAGGTTATTATTTTATGGTTCAATTGCTGTTTCATGGCTCAAGGTAAAGTTTTTTTTAAAAATCAACCTGTCCAGGGATGTTAATACATACCTCTGACACAGGTGGGACTGGAATGCAGGTCTCCTGGTGCAGAGGTAGGAACATAGCACTGTACCATAAGAGCCAAGTATTGTAAACTTACATTAACATGTGAAAATTCTTTCGAGTAAGAGGCATTTAATCAAACACACACCTATGTCAGAAAACTAAACCTTTTAAAACAAAGTACACACCACCTTTATATGTGTGTATGTATGTGTGCATATATATAAAACACTGGAATTAGGTTCTATAGTGCAGGAAAATTAGAAATGATAGTGAATCACAAAAAGGTGATACTACAAATGCTAAGCTATTGCACAAGTTGCTCATTCGTACCGTCTTACCTTGGCAAAAGATCTATAGAGTTGGGAAAATAGACACAAAAACTGATATAAAGGGATGATCCTATAAAATTGCATCAGAGATAGTCGGAACTGCAGATGCTGGAGAATCTGAGATAACAAGGTGTAGAGCTGGATGAACACAGCAGGCCAAGCAGCATCATAGGAGCAGGAAGGCTGACGTTTCGGGCCTAG